CAATAGTCTGATGTTGGAGTAGCTGCTGCTTTCTCCGGCCTGCAGAAGCCTCATCACGACAAGCACACCCCAATCCCTGCCTCTCTCCACAAACACATCCAAAATACAAGTCCCAGTGCTGACAGCAGCTCCCTTCTCCTCCAGCCATCCAGCTGCTGAAGGCCCTCATGGCCCACCAGGTCCAGCCAGCCCTGCTGAAGGGGCTGGTTGCATTACTGACGCCACCCAGGAAGAAAGCATTTACCTTCTGCGAGGAGACCTCCAAAGGTAAACGTGCTGACCATGGCCTCCAGATACACAGCAGGCAGTGGCCTGCCAGGGCGACTGGGGGGTGTTTCTCCCAGGGTCCCTCATCTCTTGCAGGGGGAGGAGGTGCAGGGGCTGTCCCCTGAGGCTAGGGGTACAGCAGCAAGGGCTGCCCAGCTTGAGGCAGTGCTTGCCTGCAGCAGTGATGCTAACGTGCAGACCTCCAGAGACCTGCTGAGGTCTTCTGTCTCCTGGGCAAGGATGACAAACAGTTCAGCAGAGGAGGCCCCAGTGGCCCAGGCTCTCTGACTGTGGCTGTGCTGCCATGGGCATCATGCCCACAGATCCTTGCAGGGTACTACATAGGTTACGTAGCCACAGGGTTTCCCTAAAGGTGTGTTTCTTAAAAGATACCACCCTTCGTGCTAGCGGTATAACTCCACCTCTCCTCCCTTATAACATCTTAGAAGTGTTTCAAAGCATCATTCTCCCCTTCCTAATGTTCCTCATGCAGACCCAGCCGCACTTTGCCTGAGGGAGCCTGTGCTGGTGTATATTCAGCAGGCAGCTGCCGCAAAAGCCATTGGGTAAGAAACTGGAGCAAAACCTAGAAACGTATGAAAGGGACTTTAGAGAAGTGACTTCCTTTGGATAGGAAAGGATTGGGACGTGTTCCTCCCAGGGAACCTTCACCCATTCACTGCTGGCTGAGTACCCCAGCTCAGCTAAGACTCCTGTGCTGGGCTGTTCGGAGATGGGGTGTGTTTGGGAATGGGGCAGAGCCACTGCCTGAAGGTAGCAGTGCTCAGACCTTCCCTGCTACTGACACTGGAGTTTACAGAGAGATTTACAGAGAGATGTGGAATCCCATCTGCTCTGGCCCTGTGTGCTGACAGTGTCCCCATTATGGCTGGGCCTGGAAGCAATGTGTGTGTTCTGCCACAGCGCAGGGCTGAAGAGTGCTGTATTGCTCATGGCCACGGTATTCTCCACATAGCTGGGGCCACAGTGAGCCCTGAAACACCCTTATTTAACATCTGCTATCTTCATGCCTATGATTGACTGTAGAATCCTTAAGGAAATTCAGCCGTTTGTGTTTTATTAGTTCATTCCGTATGAATTTCCTGCAGTGTCCACAAGATAGTGCTATCAGAACACTTTTCCTGCAAAAGCAGATGACAGAAAACCCTTAGTGGGTAGGGAGACATACTGGAGTGTCCTCCAAGGACATGCTCACACTCACAGCAGTAAGGGTGGTGGTGTTTGTGTCCTGGAGTCTTTATGGCCACACAAGAAACTTGCTCAATTTTAGTACACACCAGGAAGCTCCTGCCAATCATTAAACAATTGGTTCTCAGCAGGCTCACATGTTAAATGATTACTAACCCATGCACAGCCAAGCATTTCTTGTTTATTTTGAGACTCGCCTGTCTGTTGGTGCCCCTAAGGCAGGGTAGGAATGCATCATTTTCCACTGGGGTCACACCAAGAGGCCCAGACTCCATTTGTTGGGTGCTTCTTCCCCCATACAAGGCAGGGGCTGATGGCCTGTCTCATTGCAGCGTATTAGCCAAGGAGTCAGCAGAAGTGGCTGAAGAGCTGATCCAGCTGAAAGTGGTACATGGCCTGATGGTTGCTTTGGTGAACCTGGATCATGCAGCCAGCCAGAGACATGCCAGCATTGCCCTGGAGGTGAGCACGGTGGTACATGGCAGCAGACATCATATCACAGGGTCTGCTCCCAGAACAGTTGAGCAGAAAGGCTCCCTATGCTGTGGGATCTTTTTCCTAAGTGTAGCAGACACAGGATTATTCACAAAGGCAGGAGTGACACTTCCATCAGGAAAGAGCTGTATTTTCCCTCTTGTCTGCCTCTCTCCTGCCACCCACCACACCTAGCGTGCTGGGAAGCCAATGCTGGCCCATGCACCTCTGTTCTACCCCGTGTTTGCTGTGGGTAGCAAACACAGATGGAGCTAAGGGGCTAACCAATACAATTTGCCTGGAGCAAGGCACTAGTACAGAATTACAAGCAGGCAGTTTCTTTTCCTGCTGGTGCTGGGTAAAAAGTTTTGGCCTGCCTCAGCACAGCTCTGCCTGTGTAACAGGCACAGTGAAAGAATGGGAAGGGCTGAACGAGTGGTGGCTCTCAGGGTGAAAAAGGGTTTACAAACTTACACGGTAATGCAGAGGGTGAGTGCAGCCTTCCTCTGAGCAGGCACCAGCAACACAGCAGGATGAACTCCTTGGCAAGTACTGCACTGCTATCATTTCACTGAAACACCATCCCCCCTCTTGGCAACGAACATGAGAACCAACACTGAGGGAGGGCAGGGGGGTGCACGGTGAGGCTTAAGCAGAGATCCACAAGTTCCCTTTGGTGTATTCATGAAGTGCCAGCAGTAGCAACAGCGCTAAAGGAGGTGGGCCAGGGAGTCAGTGGCATGTGACACAGGGTAGCTGTTGCCACATCAGCCATGCAGCTCTACCCTCTGTACAGACATTCACAGCCCTGCTCCTTACAGACCAGCTCTCTCTTCTGTTGCAGTATTTTGTCCAGACGTTTCCCTTTGTGGAGGAGTATGTAAAGAAGGCGCTAGGACACACACTGTTCCAGCACTTTATGGTAAACATGCCTCCCTTATGGGGTTTATTAGCAGTCCTAGGACCTTGGTCTGTTTTGCAGGGATATAGGGATGCAATTCCTTTTCACAAGAAATCCAGTCTTGCATGAGAGCCCAGAAATAAACCAAGCCCCCCTTTCAGAAGTGTTCACCTTCAATTCCAGTATTCAGGAAGATAACTGCTCTGACTCAGCCCCAAGACAGAGAAGGGAAGGAATCTCAGACTACTGCTACTTCTGTGACAGTGGGAACTTGATGGCAGAAGTGTGAGCTGAAGGGCCACTGAGGCAAGAGGTGACTCAAACTACTCCAAATCAGGTCCTTCCTGACTCTAACTCCTGGGGTGGATATACAGATTAGTAAGCAATGTTAGCTCCAGGGAAGGAAGGTGGAACAAACACAGTGCAACCTTTTATTGCTTTAACCCAGGCCTCTCCTTACTTACTCCAAGGCAGTACTAGGCAAGGCTGGATAATCCAAGTGTAGTAACATCTGAAGTGGAACAGGAGTGCCTGGCTCTAGTCTAAACTCAGTAGGGCATAACAGCCCTTTTAGTGTACACATACCATCTTAATATGATGCAGGCAGAGCCTCGCTACAAGTCAGCTTTGACAGTCCAGAGGCCCTTAGAACCCTCAGCCCCACACTGCATCCGCTACCTAAACTGTTATCATACAGTGCCCCAGCTGTCGGGGAGAAGCAGGTTTGGGTTGAAGTATCCCTTCTCCAGCTGCTTGTCATGCTGCTCACCAACAGCCCATTAAGATTCTAACACTTTTTCTCCCTTTTCCAGGACAGTCCTGAGACATGGTACACAAAAATGGATCCACTCCAGGCTGAAGAACTGGCCTCCAGTAGAGTAGACATCCCTAGAGAGATGGCAAGGATGCAGCCCACAGGTGTGTGCAGAGCTGGGGGCACAGTCACTTAAATTACACCCTTTAATTTCAGGGGGAGAAGGCAGCTCAGGAAGCAGGAGACCAGGGTGGGAGTCTAGGGAAAAAGTAACAGCAAGAAGGGTCCCCTCTGTAATTATGTTTGTATAGCTGCATCCTGTGCTGCTGGACCCAGAGCTCACAGGATTGTTTTGTCCTTTCAGAGACAAAACAGCCTGGAGACAGCTGAACAAACAGGAAACAGAGGGCAGCAGCACATGCCTCCCATCTGTCCTCCCCCAGCCTGCCCCTGTGCCTGCTCCTTCCCACGGGTTGTGTGGGGCCACATGGACCCAGGTTGCACACAAGAGCCTTGGCAGCAGCTTGCTGCACCCGAACCAGGAGCCAGCTTTGCACTTCGGCCCTCAAATACAGATTCTGGTATAGCTGATATACATATACAGCTACTGAACATGTGTATTTTATGTGGGATGTTAGCCATGGGAAATATTAGTGAAAAAATGTGATATAACATCCCAGGGCTATCTTCAAAGCCTAAGTAAACTCCAGTGGTACAAGGGAATCTCACAGGGCCCTTCCTACTTACCTGATTTCATAAGAGCTGAGCCACTCACTAGATGCTGAGCTTTGCTCAGGTGCAGGATAGGTACCCTCTAAACCAGCTTCCCCCTTGCTAGGCAAGTTCTACCCAGCAGGATCTCAAAATTAAGAGACAATTTATTGAGGGATTTTTACGTAAAAATTACAAGTGTAAGGACTTTAAAAAGAAATTTCAAAAATAAATCAGCCTATCTCTACAATGGCAGCCAGTCTTTGAGGCTGTTAGACTTTATCAAAATCAGCAAGAAATATATTTTTATAAGACAGAAGATAATTAAATCCAGTAACATTTATTTATCAAACTTGTTAAAATACTTATTTTTTACAATTACATATACTCCATTTTCTTTCTGGAACAGCCAGACTTGCAACAGTTTTGCAATGTTTCCAGCACATCTGGAAAGGTTATATGTACACCAGAAAACTATACACGTGTATCTAGTTCTATTAGAGGAGACCATTGTCACTAGCAAAGGGCCAGATGACACACATGTCTAGGAGACTCTCAGGGAGCCCCCCCAAGACTTGCAGGGGGTGTGTTTCTAGCACTCTGCTGAGTGCCCTGATACCAGGCCACAAAGAGAGAGAGAGAGGCTGCTGTGTTTACTGCCCTTGGGCATGTGTGACCTGCAGACACTCTACCACATTTAGAACAGGAGTTACACAAACCACCAACAAATGTGCAAGACATACAGAAGACTGCTTGTGAACCAGGTTTTGCTGTATTTACTAAGGCCTCTGCCAGCTCATCTGCCTGCTGGCTTGCTCCTCCAGTTGCATGGCAGCACCCAGGGCATCCAATGTTTCTGTAAAGAAAGACAGTGACAGGGTGACTGCCCTGGAAGCTGACCTCCCCAGCCCATCTGTCCCCCTCAGCAGCTTAGCAGGGCTCTGCAAGGGCCACAGAGGGAAGTGAACTGGGCAAAAACTGTTCAGTCAACCTCCAATTCTGCCTGGTCCTACAAAGCTCTTCAGCTCTGCTTGTTCATTTCTACTCATCAACAGTTTAAAGCCTGCAGTTTGCAGTTCAAACTAATGCCACTAATCCAGCCATGCCAGAGGGACAAATTTCCCTGGCCTATAAGATAGAGAGGGTAGCAGGACATTTAGTCATGTTGTTTTGTCACCACTGCCTCCATAGTGAATGGAGGGATACAGCTCTCAAGCTGCATTTGAGATGGAGGACAGCCAGGGCTGCTTAAGAGTCACTACTTCACATTAACAGTTCACTTTGAAGAGACAATTTTCAGCCTCATTTAAAAAAACCCCAAACCCTCACAGCCCTGTTTTTCAGACACAGACTGCCAGCTGTAATGGGTCAAGTAACAATCAAAGCCCAAGTTATTGCAACAGTGGTAGAAATGTAGCAGTAACCAGTGTAGCTACCCCTGTCCCCGTCACGCAGGCTATGTACCCAGCACTGTTACCATGCCTCAGCCAGCTCATACATCTGCGTCACTGCCTCTCTACTACTGCCTCAGCCAGCACAGTCCAAATGAAGGCAGGCAGTGCTCAGGGAACAGGCAGCTGACATCCTCCTGCACAGAGCTAGGAAGTCTCCAAACTGGGTCAGAACTGAACGGTCAGAGGGATTTTGTTGCACATTATGTAGTGCCCTGTACTAAGGCAGAAGCATGCCGAATGCAGGTGCTGACAGACATGGCATCTCAGTATATGCCTGGCAGACACTTGGTATAAGTGGATGGGTATTAAGGCCTGATACCCATGAAAACAGGAGTGGAAACAGTGGGCATACCCCTGTGAATCCCTAGAACATGGCACTGTGACCCATTTCTCAAAGTCTGTTTTTTGGCCAAGGCAAAAAGACAAACTATATAACTAGCCAAACAGACTTCAGCTCATCTGCTCTTTGTGGATATTGCATTCTGCTCAAGGGGAGGCAGCTTTATATGGCAGTGCAAAGGAAGTGGAAGTTACTAGTCAATTTTTTACTTTGGAAAGTACAGACATTTCTGTCCTAGGAAAGTGATCCATAAGCTATGCAGAAGGACTGGGTGCTCAAAGCCTCACAGGTATGCTGGTGTTATTTTCAGGTATTTGAAAAAAGATTAGTGACAATGCTAGTCAGAGACAGGCATTAACATACCTCTGACACCAAGGAAGTTTCTTGAGCTCTCCTCTACAAAGTGCTTAGCTCTGCTCACAAAGGTCTCAAGATCATAGTCTGGTTGCTCTGTGATTCCCAAGAGGTAGTCAACTTCAGTGGTCATTCTCTGTATTTATAAGGATAACAGCAACAAGAAATTGACTTTCTGGAAATTCAGTTGGTTTCTTCAAATCTTGCACACAAATAAGACAGCTGAGCTTCTGCAGACCATTACCACTAGTGCTCATTAGCAGCAAGTAGAGGTTGCTAGCTGGAGGGGGAAGTGGGACCAGCTGTCCACGAGCACTGAAATGCCCCAGCTTAACCAGTGAGGCAGGAAACAGCAGGAAAAAGTTGGCAGTGAAGAAAAAGTAACACCACTGATAGCATCTTGCAGTGCAGCCCACAGCCTGCCCAGGAGCAGCACATTGCTTTGCACTATCGATGTGCAGAAGGCAGCTTGTGCTGGGCTTGCCTCTTCCACATACCTGTCTCAGTTCTCTAAGCTGTTCTATAACCTTCTCCTCCCGTTCACTAATTTGAGTCATAGCTTCACGGAAGTTGAACATGTGTGGAGACATATCTTCCTCCTCATCCTTGAAGAGCTGCAAGAAACAGCCCAAGTAAGAACAGCAAGTCATTCCCACCTTTGAGATCGGTTCAGCCGACTGCACACACATACATTGTGACCTGAGCCTTCTCCACTGGTGTCTGTTCCCTCATTCTCAGTCTCCATCTGATTCTGTGTTTCACCACCTCCATTATGAGGGCTGAGCTCTTTCACTCTGGAACAAGAAGATTTGTCACTCAAACTTCTTCTAGCAGTTTCTGGGCTACAGCATCACAAAACAGTTACTGCAGTCTAGGAAACATTTGACTGCACTTAAAGTTGCACATTATCACCCCCAGAACAAGCTCACATAGGCAGAAACCCCAGAAGGCTGTGGGAAGGAAAGCTGAGAGATGTTTGTCTCCGTGCCTAATCTAGGACATCTCCTGGAGAGAAATGTTCAAGTACACAACGCTAATTGCCAGCAATGCCCTCCACAGATGCAGTCTTCCACATGTCAGCTTGCTCTTTCGTGACTATGAGACCTTAGTATAGGAAGAAAAGGAATAAGGCTGATTTTTCACAGAGATCTACTGTGCCCAAATAGGCCTATAACAAGGATAAAAGTCATGGCTGATGACATGGTACTAGAGGCAGATGTCAGATATCAGCTGGGTATTTAATCAGCTTCATATTTCCAGGGAGTTTCAGCCTAATACCCTTTCTTATCACTTGAACTTGCCTTGTGCACTAAGAACCCAGTGGGACCAACTCAAAACTACAATCTTACTGAAGCATGCTGAGTCAGATGTTGCATTTTGTCCTGTATTTAGGAATGACTACCCACCAGAAGAAAGAAAATGCAACTTCAATCCAGAACCAAATCTGGGAATCTGCCAAGACTCAGTGTTCCTGAATGCTTATGACAAGAATTATCATACATCCTTTCAGAGAGTGGAATATTTTCCAGGAAGGAACCAAGCAGCCTTTTGTGAACTAAATGAAGGGAAGCTACCAAGCCTGAAGTGTGCAAGTGTCATCTTGTTAGCATGCGACAAAAGTCAGTCTTCTTTTTACTTGTCACCTCACTGGAGAAGGGTAGAGACATGTAAAGCAGAGACCAGGAGGCACTCACTGCTCTGTCACAGGGGTTTCAGTTATCAGCAAGACCTAGGGAAACCTAGGGCTCTGTCCCTGCAAATCTACCCTGCGCTGTAGGTACCCAAGGTCAGCAATGGGGCACCCAAAACACACACTCCCACCATTTGCTTCGAGGCATTTGAGTTCTCCAGGCCCTTCAGATTTCACCCAAAGTCTCCAAGGTGCCATACCCTATTAGTTCATATCAAAGTCCATCAAGAACACCAAGTGTTTTGTGTCACCTGTACAGCCATGTCAGGGACACATTCTTAGCACACCACTTACAGATGGGACCCAAAGTACTACAAAAAGTAAAGGGCATAGAAGTAACCATTCAGGCCAGAGTAAACCCCTCACAAAAAATAGGGCAGTCCAAAGTTGAGCATAAGAGACTCCTCTGAGGAAAGGAGACACTAGTCACACTTTAATACAATCTCTGGCTCACACAGAGAGCACCCAGGTTAGTTTCATAAGACAACTCCAAGATAATTTGCTTCTAACCAACAACCTCTAAATTGCTATGACAGGCAATGACAAGAGAACTTTTGGTCAGAATAAAAGTAGCCAAAACACCTTCTGCAACAAGAGTAGAATCCCCAGGTCAGAAAGGCCATTACCTGTCAGCGTATCTCAGTGTGTTTAAGGTGTACTCGCATGAACTCATGCCTGGAGAAATCATTGCTATCTGCAAACAGAACAAAATACCTCAGTGACTCCCACGTCAGACTTTTACTCATGTTAATGGTCCTACAGATCTCACAAGGCAGATGGGATGTTAGAGCAAAGGGTTAGAGCTGAGACATTCTGTCAGGTCCATTTTTCTTTATAGCTTCTGTGGGACATGCCAGTGGGCCTGTGTCCAGCTTTCCACTGGCTTTGTGTACACCACCGTGCTGCACCCTCCACAGGAAGCAAAGCACACCAGGTTCTACTGTAGATTCACTGTGTGAATGACTTCTGCAGCCCTGCTTCTGCTGGGGCTGGGCAAATCTCACCAGTTTTTGATCTCAGTCACCATGGGTGAGTGGAGGAAGAAGACTGCATGACATTTCTGCAGAGAACTAGAGCTTTATGACTTCAAAGTGCCCTCAACTCTAGAAGAAGAGCATGTAGCTATTTGGTCAAATTGCAGAACCCATAAACAGTGTGTATGTTTGTGCAATGCATGTACTCACCATGCAGGTCCTTGAGTTTGTTCCTATGAAAGAGTCTCTCAGCACCTGGGTCAGCTTGCTCTCCCGGAAAGGGGTATGAGATTTGTTCTGCCCTAAAGCTCGGATACATTCCTAAGAAAAGACAAGTCTTGTGAATGCAGTATCTTTATCTCTTTGCAAACAGCTCTGCAAGCTATCAACCACTAATTGCTGGTAAACCCAACAGGCAGGAGAACAGTTATCTCTATTTCTCAGTAAGTACTTCATGGCCTTTTAAATATGCTCCAAGTATTTGCCTGTCACAGGACAGCTGGTATATCCATCATATGTGGGGAAAAAAAAAAGACCACTTGAATTAAAAAAGACCACTTGAATTAAGCTTGAAATGGCTGTACCAGTGTCTGGCCTGACACAACTGCACTGCTTTCCTGGAAACACTCTAAATGGAAGTATGAACCATTTTCAGGGTTGTTAACATACTAAATTAGGATCTTTTTGGGGTTCTTTTCCCTTGCACTGGAAATAAACAGAACAGATAACCCCAGAGCTGAACAGAATCCATGTGTTGGTTAGCACTATTTGCTCCTGGAGCTATAGCTCACCTTCAAAGCCAGCAAGCTCTTATTGATTTCTGCACCTTCCATTCGTGTCTGCCGATCAGCACTAGATGTGTCTGCACCCCTCTCATTTCCTGCCAGATCTACCAAGGAAAATTTGCCAAGCTGTTTCCCTCTTCGGCGTAGTATGATTTGGAAGCAGGCGTGTGACCGTGAAGAGCTAGCATTCGCAAAAGTCTGCCCAGATGTCCTACAGCAAAAATGATAACAAGTGTTAGAACTATGCCACAGAAGATGTGATAGGTCCCAACAGCACTAGACAAGACCTGCAACCATGAAGTTGTTTAAGCTCCCCAGTTTTATACCACATATTAATGCCTCAAGTTGCATGAATTATGGAATTATCTCTGATATAAGAGCACAGAAGGACCACTGTGAGAAATCTGAGCCTGCACCCCAGTTGCAGAGACTTAAGGCTATTTAATCTGCTGGTCTTAACTCAGCCAGCCTACACCGGAATGCCTTTGACTGCTAATGCCTTACGTGCATTGGGAGCTGGAAGACATCCCTTCAGGACTGCATCTCCCTGCCTCAGAGCAGGCCACATGTCATTCTCCTAATGCATCTGCCCTTACACAGTAAGCTCACCCAAGCCCTCCACTGAACACCATTAGCTAGCACATTACAGTCATGGTAAATCCCCTTCTCCAGCCAATCTGGCATGGCACTTTACCTCTGCTGTGCAACTGCACCTGCCCCATCACTGTAAGACAGACTAGAGTCTTATAAGTTACCATAAGCCTCCCTGTGACCTTCATTGTCATTTATTCCCTGAGGAGGCTGGCTTGATCTTAAGTCCACAGGAAACTACTTGTGCTCCTGTAAACTAGCTGCTACTTCTAGAAAGCAGCTACACTGCTCAGTTTAGCTCTGACACCAGGGCAGCCATCTCCTCATGTGATTAGTTTCTCTTCTTGGAGTTACATGAGGCTATATGAAGCAAAAACTCTGACCTTCTCTATGGAAGACAGGCTAAACACATCCCTGCTAGCCCTTTATTCTGTAACCATCTTGTATTCATGCAGAGGTGCTGCTCAGTGCCTGCATATTACTGGGAACAACAAGATCCTATTTAAATCTCAAAGCACCAGTTACAGACATTATATATTTTTTGTAGACTTGGAGGTACAACAGGACATGACTTCTTATTGGTTTTAAGGTACCAAACCTGCAGGCACTGCCCATCTCAATCATTCTGATGACATCCTCAGCACAGCCAACTTGTCTCTCTTGAAGACCAACAACCTGGACCTGCTGCTTGCCATCCTCCAGGACTCGAAGCTTTGCCTTCTTATTCAAAAGGTCAAACACCTATATTCAGGCAACAAGATTGAGGCAAATCTGAATAAAGTCTCCTTTAAGTATTTTGTGCTGTTTTTATAGAAAGCTACATAAAAACAGCACCTCTTCCAATTCAATTCCAAACACACCAAGAACAATAGACTATATAAAACTATAGAGACTAGTAAGTTTCACTCAGCTACTTATGAAATATTCAGCCAAAGAAGTCAGCTCAAGATTTAAGAGAGTCTTACCTTGCCATTGTATATTTCAAAGAAAGTCACATAGACTTCCAGGTCCTGACTCTTGTACCTGGGCTGGTTTAGTAGGAGGAAGACATCTTGTGCTAGTGGGAAAGGCAGAAGTTTAGTTAACTAGTTTGAAACACATTTTAGTTGCTACTTGATCTGCTTTCAGATATTGAACAGCCATAAGGCAGTGTCTAGCAGCTGAATGGCAGTCATCCTAAACAAATGCTAGTGAAATAATTAGTGCTATGCTACCATCTGGAGAACAGTTTCGGCAGCATCCTCCTCCAGGGACTGAAAACACAGGGGAATACAGAAGTTCCTACTGCTAATGTCACCTGTGGACAGTAGTCCTTACCAATCTGGAGGAACATTGACCTGATATTGTTTTGGATAGGCCTGGAAAAGTAAAGTATTTTTGTTTCAAGCGCTTCTTGCTGAAAGCCTAGAAAACATGCACCCCTGCGCATCTGCATTGCTGTTGTTTGGAGACAGTACGCCAGATTAGTTCATCCTTTGGCCAGGTCTAGTACAGCTTTTCACAGTTAGGCTTCAGACTAACAAAGCAAAGACTTTCCTTGAGGGCCAGTCATAATTAATTTTCAGGAACCAGCAAACAATTGCTCTTGTTTCAACTGCCTTGTTACACAGACTAGTTTCACAATATGCCCTTCTAAAGGGAAGGTAGGGGAGATCAGGGTTTGTGGTGCTTTCTAGGCATTATATCAAGGAGCAGCTTCTAAGCATCTGTTTTCTGAAGTAATTTTGTATGTGCTAGGTTTTTGCATCTAATGCTTACAAGAAGAAACACATACATTCATATGCTTTCTGTATATAGAACAAGCTTAATATTAGAAGTGGTCAGGGTTGCATTGCATTCAAGTCAGGTATTTCAAAGCACCATCCTTAGGTCTCAGACAAAAGTAAAACAGAAGAATCAAGATTAAATGGTCCAGACCAAGAAATGCCAAACTAGAAAATATGCCATCTCTTTGCCTCAAAGCCACATATCTTCTGGTAAGTTTAAGAAACATGAGGAGACTTTATCAGGGAGTGTAGTGATAGGACAAGGGGTAACAGTTTTAAGCTGAAAGAGGGTAGATTTAGATTAGCTATTAGAAAGAAATTCTTCACTGTGAGGGTGGTGAGGCACTGGAACAGGTTGCCCAGGGAAGTTGTGGATGTCCCATCCCTGGAGGTGTTTGAGGCCAGGCCGGATGAGGCTTTGAGCAACCTGGTCTAGTGGGAGGTGTCCCTGACCATGGCAGGGGGGTTGGAACTAGATGATCTTTTAAGGTCTGTCCCTTCCAGCCCAAACCATTCTATGATGATGATGAAGTGTGGATCTAGAAACTTACAGGCTGGATGAAAAATATTTTGTGAAACTGATAAAATAATCATAACTCCTGCAGCAGACACCACTATTTATTACTAGAAACACAAATACTTTATGTTTTACTGGAAACATTTTAAATAACCATACAAAGAGAGATCTATTTAAGAAAAACAAGCACTAATTTCATTTTTGTATCTAAAGAAGAATCAACTTACATGCAAAAGCGTATATGCCCTTTGAGGCATTCTGTGCTCTCCCAGAGAAATCACCACCCATAGTCTATGAAAAGAAAAGGCCAGAGGTGAGGTGCGGTGCAAACAGGTCAGGCTACCTCATTTTAGTCCCAAGAACATACTAGGAAGATACCATATATACATATATGCTCCAATGTCAGCAAGATTATTAGAACACAGTGCAATTCAGGATAAAATTAGTTTGCTGCTTTCCTGTCAGTACAGAAAGAACATCTGGACTATGCAAAGCAACAGCTGAATGCCTGCAAGGCTCTGCAGTGGCAAATCAAAGCAGTTGTTCCTCCAGTGCATGGCCTTAATCATACAACCAAAGAGCCTCTGGTCAGAAGAAACAAAGCCTCATTTTTTAGGACATAGGTTGAGTAACATTCTCACTGCTACTTGCAAAAGCTCACATGTGATATCAAAATGCATCAACTGCTAGAGCAGAAAATACCTTTAACTCCTTTTGACCAAGGTAACTTTAATCCCAATGAAATTTTCAGTTGGTGCTATCCTGGTGACTTGCTCTACCACTTTTTTATGCATCACAGTCAATTATTTAAAACACAACTCAATCCCACGACACATTCCCAATCTACCAGAGTTTAATATGCAGCACTCCAGACTCAAGGTATAGATATTGTCCTTGTACTAGTTCTGCACCCTGGGATCAGGAAGGGAAAGTAAAACTTCATTGCCTATGATTTTAGTGCCTCATAGTTGTCTTCCTGTAACGATGCTCAGATGAGCAGGTTTATCTGCTAGGCTGAATGTATATATATATAATACGTAGGCTAATAGCTGCACCTTGCAGACTTGAGTTAGGCAGCAACAGCCATTTGAAGCAAGGAATAGCCATGACTAACACTAACATGTCAGGACATCCTAAGTCTTTAAAAAGCCAACTATGGGGTGATTTTAGTACAATTTTCCTGACAACCTCAAAAGAAACCCACTAACACGTAAAACTACAGAAAAAGAGGATTAACAACTTACAAAGTATCAGCTTTAAGACAATAAAACTAAAATCAAAATTCCTTATACAAACCTACTCATTATCAACATCAAGGAGCTTTAAAATACTTCATCTAAAGCTAGAAAGTTTGAGACCTTAGAGAAAAACTTACATGTGTCTTGCCACTGCCTGTTTGGCCGTATGCAAAGCATGTTGCCTTCCCACCCTCAAAGATGGTCTCTACAAGAGGTCTAGCAGTGAACCTGGATATTCAGAAGGTAAAAGACAGTTAAGGCAAGCATTTCACACCCTTCCTCATCAGTTTTCCTAAAAAAAGCAAATAAAAGCAAGTTCTTACAAAATCAGCAAGGCCATGCCAAAAATAAGCTTTAGACATTTGTCCTTTTGTTTCCTCCAAGAAGGATTTTAATATTTGAGGTAGCAGTTTCTTTAAGCCAAGATGCCATCTAGCCATTGCTCTTTGTTTTCATCTTGAAATTCACTCCCAATAAGAAGAAAGCATTACCTGTATACCATTTCATTAGATGAGAATTCATCAAATGAGAAGTCAAATCTAAATGCTTGGGTTTCAAGGTATTTTGTTAGGTCCACTTTCTGCTTTGGCTCATGCACCAGCAGGACACACTTGCTTGGAACAGTAATCACATCACATTCCTTTTTCAGAAGTTCTGTTGACAGAAAAGACCCTCAGTTTTAACAAGAATAAGCAACAAACTTCTCCAGAGCTGCTTTGTCAGCACACTCACCTTGTTTATTGAGAGGGCGCTTCCTCACACAGACACAAATCCTATGTTCTTCTATCTAAAAGTAAGAAAACAAGTAATTATTTCCCCATTAGACCCACACCTACGTAGTGTTACAGATGCTGTAACATCTAGTGCTCCTGCATATCTACTTTTCTATATGCTGATCAGAGTTGCCTCCGCTACTGATCAGACCCACACGTGCAGGGATGCAAGTGTCAATATCCCTTCAGTGCAATAGAAGCACTACAAACAACCAACCTTTACACAGCATGCTCCAGCATAGCAGGTGGAAATGCTGCTATATGATAGAAAGTGCTCCAAATATTCTGTATTGGAATTAGTAAGAAGTTCAGTCCTTGGCCATCTTTCCAGCAAAACGTGTGATACCGATACTGCAGCTGCAGTAAAATTTAGGCAAAGTATTATTTTAATTTACCCCAGAGGTATTTTTGACCGGGAGCTTTTTACCAATGCAGTGAGTTTATCCATTTATGCAGCACAACTACACATCAGTGGAGGCTGGGAAAGCACATATTCCACTGAGTGAGGCAGAATGCAGATGACAAACTCTTCTTCTGTCATGCAGTGACACAAAACAAATGGCTGATTTCAAACAAATGGCCCATGGGATGTAGGCACACAAACCACCTTGTGTTCTAACTTAGTTCCCAGTTTGAACTGAAATGCTGTCATTTTTCACTGACCATAACAAGGCTTTTGCTAGACAAGGACTCCTTGCTCTCACGTATTACCCAATGCTTCCTCCATATTTGCTGAAGACCTCAACCAAGCCTGATTTTTCTAGGTTTTGACCTCTACTTTTTGACATAGTTTAAAATTACTTAATATATTGACTTACATATAACACTTTCTGCTATAGGGCAATAGTCTATTTTAACTTATACCTACAACAACCTAAACTACTATATAATATGCTTTGCCATTTACAAGCTCTGAAAAATACTGATGCTACCACACAAATCATTACTACATAATTGTAGAAGTGCAAGCTCTTCACTAGTGACATATACAAAGTAATGCAAGGTAGCTTAGCCCTAAATAGGAGAGGTGAGTGACCTCACATATACCACCAGGTGCCTCAAGATCACAATATGCTCAGAGAATTTCCAGGGTGCAGTGATAGTGCTCATATGCTAAGATGTTCAGTACAAAATAAAGAAGTCCGTCTACAGGCTGCGGTTAGTAGCCTCAGGATTTACTTACTGGGTCATTCATAGATATTGGCTGGCAGTCTAGATTTGCTCTGAATTCCTTGATCATCCGTGCAAACTCCCAGTTTGGACAGCTGCTGTCAAATTCCTGCACAGAAAAAACATGGATGTGAAGCTAATTAACCTGTTACAGCGAGACAAAGCCCCAGAGCATGCTAAACAATCAGCTGTACACCATTAGAAATTCTTCACTTACAGGCCACAAGATTCAGAACTTTCTGAAACTAGAATCAATCCATCCTAATGTACACAAAGCCTGTCCAAAATGTTTAGTTTCAGCTGTTGTGTTGCACTATCCTATACTATTTCCTGTCACTGGTGTATTGTAGAGTACTCCACCTGTGCACGCCTTGTCCTGATTTCACTAATTTGAGCTCTCTTTTCTTCTCTCTTGTTTTTCATTTTCTCCATCTCTTTCACAATGTTAGATCTTCTCCGAACTAGATAAAATGAAAACATTTCATTGGATTAAGTTTTCATACTAGGTTTTAAGCACAATAACAATATTTCAACTTTTCCAGGTTGCTGACAAACTGACTTGTAAAGGAAACAATCATCTTCAGAAGGATGGGCATTAATTTTGCAGCACTTCCTTCCCAAACGAGATCTACCTACCACAGAAACTGCCTAGCAAGCCACACTACCGCTCAGCATTTCTGACAAGATACCGGTATAACAGAATCACACATTTGTAGTAAAAAATACTCAAGATATTCAGTCTTACTGCCAAAGCCACCTTTTCAAAGCTTCAGTCTCAAGCATATACAAAGCAGCAATCACATAGCAATGCACTGCTGACTGGTGAGCCAGTTCTTACCCACTGCTCCCTGGTACCTGGGCTCACTGAAGAGACTGTTCTAGCAGCAGGCAGATTGTCCTCTGTATTTCCATTTACATTTGTCAGTGAGGCTTCTGGAGCACAGCTCAGCCTGCCAGTCCTGGTTCGTCCAGCTGCAGAAAGAAGCCAGGCCAAAACCAATAATTAGATCCCAAATATCAAGAATAATTCTGTAATTTGTAAAGCCTCACAGGCCACAGGCATTCCTCAATACTGATTCTGGATCAGGAGAGAGAACTAGCTAAAACCTGTAGTAAGCGTACAAATAATTTTTTAAATCCTTTGCCAATCACCAACTTTTATTCAAAGCTACAAATCAAGGCCACACCAGCTAGACAAGAATTTAGTATCAAGCTTCTTATTTCAATGTCTTTGCAGAACTTAATACACAAGTCATTCCCTCAACTATTCATTGGGTAGGTCTAGTAAAGAAATAACTACAATTTCATAATTCAAGTAGGCTCAAGTTCATGTTCTACTTGACCAGTATAGGTAAAACTACTGCCAGTCTAGCTACCAAGTGTGTTGTCAGCAGTATTAAGGCACTTCTTTTCCCACTCTCACCCTGTGAACGCCACTTTTTGCTGTTAAACAGACACCACATCCATCAACACACACCACAGCCCTCTGGCTAATAAAGCACATCATTATTCAACAATATTGTTTCCAAAGTCCTTTGAGAACCCCTTTGGGTAGGAGCCCTGGATATTTAAATAGTGGCAGACCTTTAGGTCCCTGTTGTTTTATAAATGAAGGGGTAGAGGTTGCTCCTCCCCCTGGAATTTGCAGTTTACCTAGTTAAATGCATACAAAGCATCTTGCTTCACAGAAAGAATTCACTGCATTCTTCCTCCACTCACCAGGAACTGATGAATTGTTTCTGGTTTGTGTAGAATTGCAGGGATCCACTCCCATCTCATTTTCCTGGAGGTTGCACTGAGATTCCGTGATAACAGACATTCTGGAACGGCCACGTACAGCTTTGCAAACAATTATTCAAGGTCAGCATCATGCCCCAGACACTCAGACATTTGCAAGTAATCAAGTGCTCACAAAGTGCAGAAGAGTGGGGAATAAGGTGTGTTTAAAAGGACCTTTTCCAGATCCCAGATGCATTAACAAAGTGCAGGACGAAGCTATGCAGGTGGGTGAAAAGTGATCATGAAATACACCACCACAGAAAAGCAAACAGTTCATTACAGATTTGTAGTTCCAGTTAATTTCTTTCAGATACCACTAAGAATTCACTACTATGGCAGTTCCAGAACCTTAATACCTAGGAAGGAGACAGTTACAAGTCAGGAAACTGGGAAATCCTGTGAAGCTTCACACCTGCAAGACTGTGCGAATTGTTTGATGGTGACAGTTGCAGTCTGGCAACTGGTCATGGGCAGCATCACGCCCACCATCACAGCACCCACGCACAGACAGTGTGTGGTGTAAATTGGAGTGGGAGCTTGGTAACACTGATTTCAGCTAAAAGACTCCATATAATCACAACAGCAAATCTTTGGACAGGGTCCTTTTGTAGGCAGTCTCCATGGTCACCTGACAAGGTATATTTCCTTCAGTGAGACCAAGTCCCTGACAAAGCTGCCTGGGGTAGAGATTGGAACATACACCTCAATAGATTTATAAAGAAAGCAAATCAGAGATGAAAAAAATAGAAGTGTGATATGAAAGCTAGAATTACCTTCACCTCTAGCAATCACAATAATTTATCCAGAATTATTCACTATGATTTTTAAGGCCATTAGGTTTGTTTCAGACCAATGGTTAATTTCAATTCTGGATCAAATTCCTTACAACCGTACCCACAAAATTCAGTGCTCATATCTATTAAATCTTTACCTGGAATCTTCTGCTCAGCTGCAGAGACATTAGTTGTCACTGTTGCAACTTAAGGAATAAAAAGCATCAGTTTCATTATGCTCAGAGATGGCATTTTATTCCATTTACTTTTGTCACCATGCCCAGACCTGATCTCATCATAAACTCAGCAGCACTTTTTCTGTAAATGCTAGTGCTCCTGGACAGGCATACCAGCTGGAGGATTTGCCGCATCTAAATGGGTTTGATTCAAGTCATTCTTGTACGAGGCTATTCAGCATCCTCCAAAATACTTATTGCTTCAGAGGACTGAAGCAAGGTCTGTTTCTTAATTCATTCTAAAGCACTGTTCCTGCTTCTCTCACTTTCCTGAACAAGATGGAGACAGACACCTCCTGATCTTTAATTTGTTTAGTCCAAGAACAAAAACTTCAAGCCAACATTAGCTCTCTAATTGGTGCAGTGCAGAGTTTGCAACAGGACACTCATGGGGTTTAGCTAGCTGTAATAACAGATAATAGTATTTGAGGAACTCTGAAAACACTGCTTCTCTCTTGTTCTCTGAGCAGGTCTTCAGGGACAAGACTGTGCCAGTAGGAAAGGCAACAGATATTTCACATTTGCCATTAGATTTTATACTTCAGGAAAGCCATGACCTCTGTGAGGACATTTTTCCATCAATCAGTGACTGGATTAAACCACCTTTATTTTTCCAGCTGGCTACCCAGCTCCATTAACTGACCTGTCTAGAGGCAATCACAACTTTGCCACATCATTTTGCTTGCCAGTTCACAAAATTTATGGAGAGTTCTCTGGATTTGAGAAAAATCAGGATGCTCTAGTACAGAATAACTTTTGACACATTAAGCTTCTTGGACTACTCCTGCCTCTCCAATCCAAGGGAATTTGTACTGTCATCTTCTGGTACCAGCTTCCTTGTCTTGCATCACATGCAACAGAAAAGGCCAGACAAGCTCAGCTGTTTTGTTTACAGCTCAGTTGTATGGAAAAGGCCGTGTTCTGGATAATTATGCACTTTACAGGAATCAGTAAATTAGCAACCATTCAACCTCAGCATCACTCAACTGTATTACAAATAGACCAGCAATGCTGCCACTTGCAATTCAAAAAGCCAAAAGAATCAATTAATAAGCTAAAAGAAGGTAGAAAGTTTTCCAACTCTTGATTCCTCAAGAAAAACAATTCCTTAGCAATCCCATACTCTGACATCTCTATCTTCTCTTCTGGCTTTACTCAAAACATCATACTGACATACAATCGTTGAGCTATGGCACACCAGCTGGCACTTTGGCTGCCTGGTCTGAAATGTCTCCAAGGATAAAGCTCTAGTTATTGTTTAGGGGGACTGTTTGAAAAGGAGACATCCATTTGTCACTGATGTTTCTTTCTTGCCCTTTCCACTCTCATTTTGACACTTTTAATCTTAATAACTGCCACTTCCCTTTTGTTGTTTGTGGCACTTTGTAAAACTCCCTATGAAGCTTTAAAACTCACTGCAACAGTGACTGCCTAGTGACCTTTAAAGCAGTGTCAAGGAGTAACTACAGAAATGCTGCAGGAAAGGGCAACATACCAACAAACCCCAGCTCACAGAAACAGGACAGTGATCTGTTGGCAAAGTTTCTGCACTCAGGAGTCCAAAGGATTGATAGGAACCAGTACAGTCTTTATTAGCACTGCCTAAATGAGCAGCCTTATAAAGCACTCGAATATTATGGCTGCAATGGAAGACCACCACAGTTTCACAGGGCTATAAGAGAGAAAACATTTTCTCACCTTCCCGTGGAGCAGGAATTTTTGAAAGGGTTGTTCTACGCTTCTGTTTCTGGAAAACAATGACTGCTGTAAGTAATCAGAATAAGCTGCAAACACCTAGCACAGCACTTCAAGACAACATTGATGCAACACGGATTTCTGAACAAAGTCTAACTATGAAACAGAAAAGACAAGTTAGAGACCTCAAACTTTAAGACTGAGGGTATTATTTATAACAAGACCTATGCTGTTGACACTTTAGTAGCTTTGGAGAGATTAAATCACTTTATAGCACTTACCTGTACAGTTACATTCTCTTGCAAAGGAAGGTTCTCTTTCACGTCTGCAGCAGGTAGTCCTTTTGATAACTCAGGATTTATTGCTATCACCTCATCAATATCAACCTACAAGAGCAAAGGCAGGACTTTACAGAGTGGAATATTGCTGCTACCACTTACAATTTTTTTTTTTAACCTTGACTTTCAGTACAGGCAAACAAACCTGACCCACTGCCTGCCAAATGTTAGATTAAAGCTGCCTGGAAGGGCAAGACAGCAGTTTATGTTCCATTTGAGTAGTCTCTTATGTTTAAATATGCTAGAAGAAATGTGCTAGTTAAGCCATTTACCCTCATCTGCCAAATACCGCACAGCTCTGCAGGTGCCATAGAGCACTTCTGAAGAGATGGGTAAAGCACAGTTGGCATCAAGTGCTTTAATCTCCTACTGCTAATCTTAGTAAATCTCAGCCGGTCTGTGCCTTCTGTGCTAGGAGAGCATTAAGTGTTTACTGTGTGACTGTGCTTACTGAAATAAACTTTAAAGAGCTGCTTAGACTTTGGGAAATGAAGGATTCAGCATTTAATCCACAAGTCAATTCACCTGCATTTTCACTGGCTATTACAAGTGACTTCACCTAGAGCCAGCTCCTGCCTTCTGCCCAGCCCTGCAGTGAAGTCATAATTCTGCCATCACCACATTCTGCAGCACCCTGGCACAGGCAGTTGCAGAGAACAACAAGGGGCAGGCAACCATGTGCAGGCTCAAGTGTAAACAACATCTGAGTTAATTTTTTCAAGCAAACCCTGCAGAAGAGTTTGAAAGGAGGCCTACACAAAAACTCCAGCATCACAGCAGTTTGCACTGGAATTCACCTAGCAGGGCATCATAAACACCACTCCAGGAAGTTCTTGAGTTCTCAATTAACTTTTAAATTACTTAAATGAAATAGAAGTCCATAAAAAGAGTAAAAACAAGTAGGTGAACCTCTGCAAAATGGGGAGACACCATATTCTAACAGAAGTAATTACAAAATTTCATTTAAATGGAAACTGTAAGTATCTAATTGGAAAGGGAATTAGCTCAGAAGCACACATATAGTGGGCACACAGACAGCATAATAGATAAGTGTACCTATAAGTGTATAAGAAAACTGATGGCATCTTCATAACAATTTAATATTGTAACACACACATGCAATTTACCCAGCAGTTACCTCTGAATCTGCACATTTTACATATTTGAATGCTGCATGCACATAAGCAGTGTAAGATGCAGTTTCAAAGAACCAGACAATTGCAACTTTAAGATTTTAACTAAACTCTGGAGTGTATATGCTTCCAGAGGAACCTAGAGGACAAGCATGTTTGCTCGGTTACCAAAGGAGAATTTGTTCAGTGTCAGGATTCCAGCCACATCAGCCTCAAACCCCCCAGGCTCCCCTGCTCCCCATCTCACACACTTTACACCAGCGCGGTCCCAGGAGAGCAAACTCAGCCCTCTGAACAGGGCACCTTGGCAGTGCCGCGCTAAGCCTTAAGGAAAGCTTGAAGGCCGTTATCAAAGGCATGAAAAGCCAGCAGGCGGTCCCCAGAGCTAGGAAAACTGGGACTTCAGGGCATCCAAAACCCCCAGCTAAGCCAGAGGCCCAGCATCCCCCAGTTCACTCTTTCGGTGCAGCCACGGCAGCCTGA